CTCTCCCCCCCTCTCTCTCTCTCTCCCTCTCTCTCTCTGTCTGTCTCCCCCCCTCTCTCTCTTCCCGCCAGCATAGTGACTGACCAACAGAGAAAAAGAAGGCACCCCCCTCTCTCTTCCCGCCAGCATAGTGACTGACCAACAGAGAAAAAGAAGGCAAAAAATTAACTTTCCATTGAACATAAATTCTAAACAGTAGTTCCTTCATTCTAGCCGATTGTCTAATTGGAATGAGAGGGTTTTTTTTTTTTTCTTTCGCATCAGTCATTTGTCTTCTGCCGTCCCTCTGGATGCCCTGTCCCAGGGAGATGGGGATGGAGTGGAGAGGTAATGGGAGCAGAAACTGGTTTGCAGTTCCTTTACCTCCAAAGGCCCCCTTGAGTCATCATTTCTTTTTAGCCATACCGACTGCTTGCCCCATTTTGCTCCCCTCGCCCTGGCCAGCCTCCCCCAATTCTCCTGCGGTCTTCCCCTCACCTGTCCACTGCAATGGCTGTCATAGAGTAGATGCTGGCAAACACCGCAGTGATGGGAAAGAAGTTCTGGAAGCGGCAGTAGTTGGCGCCAAAGTACCACTCGCTGTGAAGAGCATAGATGAAATTGACCAAGGTGTTGAAGGCAGCCATGGAGGCGTCGGAGAAAGCCAGGTTTACGAGGAAATAGTTGGTGACGGTCCTCATGCGCTTGTGGGCCAGGATGATCCAGATAACGATGAGGTTTCCAAAGACTGCCACAGCCACCACCAAGCCATAGGCCAGAGACCAGAGTGCGATCCGCCAGGACGGCTGCACGAACTGGTTCGTGAGATTGGCCCGGGCCTGGGAAGGTGCCTGGGATGCCAGCGGCAGCCCCAGAGCCGAGGAGAAGTTGCCAGCCTGGAGGGAAAGCCACTCAGTGACCCCCAACGCAGCGCTTAGGTTCTCTGCTTGGGTCCCCACTCCTGCCGTCCCGTCCGTCCAGCTCTCTGCGGTGGGGACTGAGGCCATGGCTGGAGTCTGCAGCCCCGCCCCTGCCACGCTCCCGCCACCAGCGGGAGCCGGCTCCCCTGAAGTTCTCCACCCCCTGGACACGGTGGTCTTGGGTACTGCCTGGTAGCGGGTAGGGAAGCTCCCCGCTCCTGGGATGCTGTGTTGGATGTGGAGCAGGAGCCACACTTAGTCCTGGGAGTTTGCGGCTCCGCGGGGCAGGAAGAACCAGAGAGACTCTTCCCGCTTGGGTCCTGCCAGAAGGAGCTCCCAGGCAGCAGCTGGAGAGTGGAGATCAGCACTGAAAGCCTGCTTTATAATCTCCAGGAGTCCCCAGCCTCCGTGACGTCGCGGGATGCAAGATTGACGAACACTCCCCCCACAACCCCACCCCGCCCCCTGCAAGCTACCGCTCTAGGCTCTCGGCTTCTCCAGCCCACACTCTGGTTTCCTTTATTCTGTTTCTCTTCAGGCAGCTGCTGGCTGATGGCACAGGAAAGACACTCTTTCTCCCCACAATCAAATCTTTCCAATATCGTCTTCCCTTGTTTAACTTTGCTCTCAGAGTTGTTCAGTAAGATATACTTTCCTGAAACAATTAATTCTCCACTGAGTAGAGGACAGGTAAATGTGTGGGGTGGGGTGGGGTGGGGGGGTGAGCAGGAACTCAGCAGCAGGCAGTGGGTACATATAATCTGTGTCATCGGCTTCGGGATTGAATTCAGCTTTTGAATCCTGTTTATCTATTCAGTCTGAGATTCCTTTTCTTGCTCCCACTTTCAAGCACCCACCATTTCTTTTCTTATCTTAACCCTAAGTACTGGAAATCTGCTCGCTCTGCTTTCTCTCCTCAGATGGACTCTCCACCTCACCCCAGGATTCTTCTCTGGTTAGAATGAAGGCCCGGACACTGAGAATGTAAACCAGGGTTGTAAATGTTCCCAAAACAAATCCATACAGTGTATTGCAGGGCTCTCTTCCCCCCACTGGGCAATGTGAGTGTGCACACGGGCTTCTGTGGCTCCAGATGTTTGTGTGCAGGCCTTAAACACTACTTTGCAAGCAGACCTGCTGGCCTGACTTCTGAGAGGCGTGAGAACTGTGCAGTGAGAGTGCTTTGTGGTGTGGAAACCACAGGAGGTGGTCTGCAATTACACGGACATCACAGGCAACTATACAGAGGGCTCCAAGGCAAGACTCCCTTGATCAATCTCTGGGCAGGTGTACAAGGGCTCAGGGATAAACATATTCTTAATTTTCCACATGCTTAACTCTTTGAAACTCAGTTTCCAATGTGTACATCGACAACAAGTTGTCTAATTAACTTCTGGGTGTGTGGTGTTTCAGCAGGCTTTCTTCAGCATCACAGTGGAGAAGGAACACTTGAATCCGTGTTAGTGCCCTTTGTAGTCACCCCTCTGCATCTCTACATTTTCAGGTGAAATGGCTTGAGAAAAAGTAGAGTCAGTGGAAGCTGGCTTGTGATTTGGGACATTATGCACTTTTACACATTCTTCAAAAGCTGGGTGTGATTATTCCACCAATGGACAACTGGAAGTAAAACATAATTAAAAGGGTAATACTAAAAATAGATTTGGGCAACCTGACAGTCGTCATATTGACAAAACCCTCTTTCCAAACACCAAGTATTATTATTAATTCCCAGAGTCCCATGAAAACATGTAATAAATTACAGCTAAGGCCATTAAAAATCCCACACTTGCTGCTTACTAAGATCATGACATTTTTTAATAGATTTTCTCTTCTCTCTGCATCTCAACAGGGGGTTGTTTGTTGTTGCTGTTTTGGTAAGTGTTGACTGTACTTCATCCCACATGTCATGTCAGGTACTAGGGGTGTAGCATGAAGGCAGCCAGCTATGATGGAGCCTGTAGTCCAGCAGTACATTTTCCCTTGAGACACACAGAGGATGACACAGAAACATAATGGAATGTTTAACAATATGGAAACAGGTCTTCTTAGGATTCTTTCAGTCTATCTTCCTATATTAGTTTGTAGGATGGAACAAGTTCTTAAAACATGGAATATCATAGATGTATATGGACATACATACACACATATACACACATTTGAAAAGTCAAGCTTATGGGACAATAGCTAAGGATGATTTCCTGACTAAGGGATTTTGGAGAAGAGTTGACCCAAATGGTCAGATTCAGAGTCCTGCTGTCATCTGAAGCCATGCACCTGTTGTTTATGTAATGATCTTCCCTCTCTTTCTATTATCAAAGGAACTTCAAAACTCATAGCCTTCAAAGAATGAATGGAAACACAGAGTAAGTGGTAGAACATCAGAAGCAAACTCTTTGAACAGGACCTGGGATTGAAAACCTTTGAGTATATACATGACAAGTGGGTGCCTCATACGGTGCAAGATATGAGGACACTGGAAAATATAGCCAGAATGGGAAATAGCTGGGCTTCAAAAGTGGATAGGTCTTACCTGTTAGCAAACTAAAATTATTTAATTACTCAACAGAATGAAACTTTCTATCGCTTATGTGAATATTTATTAAAGCTACTGGTCAAGAAGCATCTATGCATTTTATTACGAGGTATTGTATCTAGATTGTATTTCTATGCCACTCTGTTAGCTGGCCGAATTTTTTGCTGAGAATATATGAAAGAGACTGGGTACTTGTCATGTGTTACTGGTGTGTGAATTTTTATTTTAGCAGGCCTTCCCCAAATAAGCATAATAAGATGGCATTTCAAGTAATGCTACTTTCTAAGTGGAGGAGCTGCTGCTGTTTGGAAAGGAGAATTTGTCTAAATTTCAGATTCATGTCTCTGTCAATAACCTTCTATTTGACAGCTTTTGCATAAAACTCCTTTTCAGGATATTAAGTTTATTTCCACCATGTTGAAATATTGCTCTACCAATTTCAGATCCTCAGCAGCCTTTGGCCCCTGATTTACTTGTTTTTCTTTGCTAGTTCATCAGAATTGCTTTGTGATCAAATCAATTCATTTCTAGATTTTGAGTTCTGGGCTGCTACCCACATTGCTGGTAGCCAATGTGGTGGTATAAATGAAATATTTCCTTTATTCTCAGGCATCTTCATACCTAGTCCTCAGTTTGTGTCTCTTTGGGAAGATTTAAGAGGTGTGGTCTTGCTGGAGGAACTATGCTACGAGGGTCCTGCTTTAATGTTTCAAAAGCCACAAGTTCTTTCCAGTGCTCGATCTCAGCTTCCTGTTTGCATTTCAAAATGTTAGCCCCAAGCTCTCAGATTTCAGCCCCCACCTCAGTGTCCACTGTCTGCTGACCTGTTGAGCCCATTATGGACCTAACCCTCTGGGTCTGTATTCCCCAAATAAACCCTTTCTTCTGCAAGTTGCCTTGGCAATGGTGTTTTATCACAGTAATAGAATAGTAGCAAAGGTAGCCAGTCAATCAATACAGCTCCATTCACTTGTGCAGACAGGTGCTCCTTAAATTTTTCTCTCCCTATTATTTTAATCAGCTGTTTAAAACTGAAATTTTCATGTAAATGAATGGAGCTGCTAGGAAAAAATCATCTTGGTGGAGGTAAACCAGATCCAGAAAGACAAGTATGGTATGTATTCACTTACATGTGAGTGTATGAAGAGCTTTTACCTCTGCAGACCATTGGTAGTTCATAGTACTGGAAAATACTCTGCAAGCTATCAAAGGAAAAAAATGTTAACACCAACACAGTTATCCTTCAATGTACATGGTGACCTGCCTGAAAGACATACTGATGCAATGATGGCACAAAGGCTGTGGTGATAACAAACCAATATCTAATTAGATTGAAGGATCACTTCATGAGATAGAACCCATCCCTGACACTGCTTGGGTGAAACTAGACACTGCTGAAACTAGATAGGCCAGGGACTTAGGGTAAAAGCAAATACTCCTGTCGTGATAACGGAGCATAGTAGTAAAGTGACTCCTAGTACCATTCTGCTGTAATCATTGAGAAATATCTTGCTCAGCCATCATCAGAAAAATCTCCTCCTGCAGTAGTTGGAAGCAAAAATGGAGACGCACATCTTAACAATGCTCTGAGAGTGAGAGACCTTGGAACCCTCAGCCCTAAATGGGTTGTTTCCATCAATCTCCCACCCCCAGGGGTTCAGGCAACTCTGCAGAAAAGAATGTAAAAAGCATGTAAGAAGAGTCAGAGGAGATAGAAGATATCAAAGAATCAAGGCATTCTAGACACAAAGGACCTGGCACACATTCAAACTCACAGGGACTGAAGCAGGGTGTCCAGGGCCTGTGTGGGTCCGAACCAGATAGGGTCTTAAAGCTGAGATGAAAAGGGGACACACTCACCCACCCACCCTTATCTAAAAGCTATCTCCAATTGATAGCCACTTGCAAATTAAAATTTTGTTTTCTCCAAAGGAGTCTTGCTTGGGAAACAAACTACTTATCCAGAAGTAGATGGCCAACATGAAACAAACTCAACAGCATCTTTGGAGGTTCTTTGACTCATAACATTGTGTTTAGTTATTTTTGTTGTTGTTATTTTACTCCATTGGTTCTTTGTCTAAACATTATGGCTTTTGGTTTTATGTTTTTATGGGAGTCCTATGTGTGGAAACGTGTGTCTCTGCATCTATCTGTGCTTCTCCTGCTTTTTCTTTGGCTCATTTTCTCCTTTTTGTTTTGCCCTATTCCCACTTGTCTGTTTCTTTTCTTTTCTCTTCTTTTATTATTACTCCTTAGATGCCCATCTATTTTCTAAGGAGAGACAGAAAGGGTATGGATCCAAATGGGAGGAAAAGTGGGAGGAACTGGGAGGAGTTGGGAGAGGGAAAATTGTAATCAAAATATATTGTATGAAAACATCTACTTTCAAAAAAGGAAAAAGACTAAAAATACTTTAAAATTGTTTATTAGAGTGTTTATATATTTTTGCTGTATATGTATGTAAACCAGAGGTTGACATCGAGTCTTTTGTGCAGGGCAAGGTCTCTCACTTAACCTGGAGCTCACTGGGTCAGCAAGAGCCATTAAATTGAGT